AAAAAAAAAAAAAAAAAAAAAAAAAAAAAAAAAAAAAAGAAGGAAGCTTCAAAGGCGTTAAGCCCCAGTGCCAAGCCAGAAAGCCATGGCTGTTTTAACAGATGTCTTTTGATCAACCCAAAGATCCCAGCTATCATTTCCAACCCTGTTCCACATCTAATACTCTTCGCAGTGTGTATAATTATGAAGGGTGAGGTGGTTTTGGAACAAGTTCAGTCCACCTACCATTGTCCACTTACAAAGAGCAGCCTATGCAAATCCACCAGACCCCAATCCTAGAAGCACAGCTGAAGGAGCCACTGCAAGCCCAAGGTAAAGACCTGCTGTTTGAATGATCAGAACTACACTTCTCCACATCTCCAGCCTCCGTATCTGTCTGTAGAGGGTAACAGTAGTCCTGTCCTGAATGCTGTGCAGACTAAATTCCAATAATAAATACAAGGGTTCTGAAACCATGCCTGGTACATAGCAAGCACCTAAAAAATGCTGGCTCACTTTGTTATTTTCTTGTTCCTATTTTTTTTAACCATTCAAATTCCAAAATCAATGCTATGTGTGACTCTAGAGGAAGTGATTTCTAAAGTGTGTGTTCATATACAAATAAGAACACCAGCTTGCCTCCTTTAAGCCCCAGCCCCAAGCTTGACTTAATTTTTAAAGAAATTGGATCCTGATCTTATACTGCCCTTGCCATAGTGTGTCACAATCATTTCCCTATTTTATTTCCAAGGTAAACATCTAAGGCCAGGGATATCACAATAAACTTGTATCTACACCCTTACGCGCTTCTATACAGGCCTTGGTATAGAAGCCAATGGCCATCAGTGTCCATTTACTTCATTATTATTGCTCATTTATAATGTGCACTGACTAATATTTATTAAGCGTCAATGTGAGACAGACACTGCCCTGAGCAGCACGGGTACAGTAGTAAAGGAAATATACACACTCTACCTTCCAGCTTACAATCTAGTAGAGAAAATAACCAAACAAATAAGCAATTCCACTTCTAAAAAATGATTCAGATTGTGATAACTGCTATGAAGAAAGCAAGCAGAATAATATATGATGATGAATAATGAAATTTAACCCAAACACCCTGCTTTAATGAACCCATACATTATGGAGATGTATTTCTCCTAAATTTAAGATACTAATAACAAAACGAACTGCCACAGAAGGAAGGGATTCCACAAGAGGGACATGCCTCTGGTCCCAGCACTTTGGAGGCTGAGGCAAGAGGATCATTTGAGGCCAGAAATTGAGGCCCACCTGGACAACATAGTAAGGCCTTATCTCAAAACACACACACACACACACACACACACACACACACAGCCTAACATTATTAAGGTTTGTAGAATTTCACTCAGTTGGTTTTATATGATCTCTGGGAATATCAGCATCCTAGTACATTTTCTTTAACTAAGAACAGGCATGATGGTAAATGCCATTCGACCAGAAGACTTTATTTCTGGAGCTATGAAAATAGGTATTGACTCTGATTGGTCAGCTGCTGAATTAATCAGGCAGCCATTTATAAAAACATGAGACTAATAAACCACAACTTTAAATGGGAATTCAGAGTTGCTGGAATACCTATATTTCTGTCTGTTATTCTAATTTGTTATTTCAGATATTTACATAAAATGAAACAGGAAAAAGGGATAAAGCAATCAAATGTACTCTGACTATCAGAAATTAAATTCCTGTTGGTGAAAAAAAATAAGAGATAAAGTACATAAAAATGCTGATTTTTAAGGCTCTACTACTAAAATATGAAATATTTCTAGATTTGTGAGATGACAATGCTTTTTGCAGATTTAAACAGATTATCTTTATGAGGACATGATGGGACCTGGTAGATGAAGTTCACCTATCCTGAAGAATTATGATGAAGACAGGACCAAGGAACAACAGCTGTGCCCCAGTCAACAAGGCCAGCGCAGGGATGCAACTGGCACTACTCATCGTAAAGCATCTCCCCTGGGAAGGGGGATCGAACAAGAGAGCTGGCTTTAGATGAGAGCAAGCCATTTTTCTTACAATTTGACACAAAATAGCTATGGACTGAGGAGAAGGATTTGTTGCCAAACTATCCCCTAGAGTAGATAATCATAAAATGGTATATGCTTCTGTAGCTTGGTCACAAAAAGGACACAAGAGGAATAACAACGCATGAAAAGGTACTGGATTAAAAATTTATTCCTGAAATGTGACACACAAAGATAGTTGAAAAGCTGCAAACAGCATTTAAAGCATTGCATTTCTCCTTGGCTTCCTTCCCTGAAAGCCGTGGCAGCCACAAAAGGGTCAGAAGGAGTCAGGCACCTGTGCTCCTCCTGTCACCCCACCCCATAAGGACCAACTAAAGACATCTGTGAATGCACTTCATCAAAGATGAAGCAGTAAGACGAAAACCCACATGGACAACATTGGAAGTATTCAATGCCATACGTTTTTTGGTACCAGAGATTGAACTCAGGACCTTGTGCTTTTGAGGCAGGCGGCGGAACCACTGAGCTAAATCCCCAGCCCTGCCATAGGTTTTAAGAGATAGGCAATTCCATGTTGTTTTGTTTTGTGTAAAATATGGTTTGGGATTTGGACCAAAATTAGGCGAAAATCATCAGTAAGTCCAATAATAAACTTAGGATATGCTATATCAAATAGACAAAATATAAACTTGATATTTAATTTTAAGGTAGCAGGCATACAGTGTTCAATACTGAAGACAGAATATTTATGTCACTGGGAGTTAAATACTCCTGGGTTTAGATTTTAAGTCTGTCAAAAGCTAGCTGTCTGAGTAAATCCAGTGGCCACTCTGAGATCAAGTTTTCTCATTTGAAAAATAATGAGAGTTGGTGGTCTATGAGAAGTGTTCAGAACGTCTCATCTCATGTTAAAATTAGAAGAAACAAAACCCAGAAGACAAATATCCTTTCACACCCTAGCAGATGTATAACCGACACATACAGCTTTTAAAGAAGGCCAGTGGTTCAGGCTCTTACCATTTAAGCAAATCAAGGGGTACTTCTGTCGATTCTGATAACCAGAAAAGCAAGAATCGGGCATCGTGTACAGCTGGGGCAGCCAGCGGGCAACTGTGTGGGGGCAGATACTGTGGAGACGAGAAGCAGAAGTGACAACATCCCAACACCACTATGACAGCAGCAGCAGCACCACTGACATTAAATCTGGGCTGAAGTAGTCAAGATTCTCCTCTGAGTTACAAATTGAGTACAATATTAAGACCTTAATGGCCTTAAGGTATGTTACGACTGTGATACTTTTAATGAAGGGACTGCTCAGTTTTGGAAGTCACATTTTAAAAGGCGTATTTAGGTCAGTCTTAGCTCAAATCAGTATAGTACTTAGGGGTCCTAGTGAAGAAAGACTTCTCAGCAGCTAGCTGAGTTAAGACTCGATATCCAACAGGAGATCTTGCCGTGATCATCACATGCACATATGGCAGAGACTAAAGCTCTAACCTCACCACAGTGAAGGAGTAAAGAGTAATGAAGGGGAGACAGGAAGGAAAGGAGGGAAGAGGTTGATGACGCTGTTGCATGGAATAAATATTCCATGTATTCTCAATTTACTTAAAGAAAGGACTTGTAGTCTAACAAAAAAACAACAGGTTTTACACTAACAGAATGTAAATAATACAGAACAGAAAAACAGACTTATAAGGAAAAATGAGACACAGATGAGTAACAAGTATGTGCCAATAGCAGAGAAGCTACACCTGGGAAAAAACTGATTCTTGATGTATTTCTAGTTAAGGCAACAAAGATAATTTTATAATTATCAACACAAAGGAGATAAACACAAAGGAGAACATTCCCTCAAGGCAAAGTTGCTTTTATTAATAATTTTTTAAAAAGTTCCATGAACCTGGGAAGAAGACTACTGAACAGAGGCATAATTAATGGGCAACACGCTAGGACACACTTGTACAACAAAGAGAAATGTTTAATTCCAAGAGCTCCTCCAAGCCTCTCAAGGAAAGCAATCCTGGTTTCGACTTTTTTTTCCTGATTATAAAACACATGTGTGCTTCCCTTTCTGGAAATATAGAGGACTGAGAACTCTAGACAACTCTAAAACAAAGGAAAATACTAACGGGAACCAGTCAACTCTGTAGCTGGGCAGCAAGAAAAGCAAGATTCCTCGGGGCCAAGAGCAATATGGCAGCAGGGATGAAGGAGGGTGAATTCTGGTGACAGCGAGTAAGGCCAGACTTCCAGACAGGGTGAGTTCATGCCACGGGAGAACATCAGAAGGGATGACCCGTGCATCCCTGGGCCAGCAAAGATAACCCAGCCTCGCAGACAGGGACAGCTAGGAAATGCTCCTGCCTGCACCTGGCTCATGGTAGGAGGACAAAACATGTTTTCACTGGCTACTTGTAAGCACAAATCAACCTTCACACAGGCCAGACCCCAGACTATTGCTGCTATCTGCAAAACATCAAGCTAAGGATTTATCTCAAAATGAGTTCCTACCTTGGTATGGCTCCTGGCCATTGGGCAGGAGCAAATGAATCACATTTAGTGATATGTTAGACTGCTCTCATTAATGCCTCCCACTACCAAGATTTACTACACTATTTTAGAAGTCCTCAGCAATGTATAACCAGAAAAAAAGGGGTGTGTTTTTTGTTCAAACAGATAAACTAATTACTATTTGCCGATGAGCTGTCTAGAAAATTGCAGCTTACATACTGCAAAATGATATGAATAAATTTAATAAGGTAATTAGAAACAAGGTCGTTGGCTTCAAGAAACTGTAATTAAAGAAAATAGAATATGGTCAATATATTTGATGACACTAAGAACCTACACCTAATTCTCATGATGTAACAGCGATTTTAAAAGTTCCCTTTATTTTAGAAAAGCTGTGGTTGAAATACTTCTAAATTTGCTTTGAAATGCTCCAGCATTAAAAAAAGAAGGGAGGGTGAGAAAGAAGTAAATATACCTGACAGGTCAAATAAGACTGGTAAACACTAAAAATTGTTCAAGCTAAGTAAGAGATATAAGTAACATTCGCGGACATTTTTGGTTCTAGTAAAAAGGTTCTCAAAAAGTTAAACCCAAAAAAAGAACTTCAAAATAATTAACATTAGGGTAGACAGGAAGACACTACAGTGGTTCTCCTTCCTATGACAAAGACGCATGCATGCTTCAGCATCACCTTGACGTGACTAGAAACACAAGTTCTCTGAGCCAGCTTAGAACTGCTGAATCAGAAACTGGGGTGGGGCTGAGGGGGGCCCAGGGCAATAATCTGTTTAACAAACCCTCCAAGTGATTCCAACTGAGCTCAATTTGAGGAGTAAGTCTTAGGAAGGTCCTTAAACCAGGCAATGGGTCTTGCAAAAGCTCAGTAATACAGAAAAGTCTGGCAGGTAAGTTCAAGGAAAAAAATTAATGCTGAAAATAAAATGGGATTTGTCAAAATAGAAGTGATTACTTTAAAATGAGTAAAGAACTATAAATTTTTAAAAATCTGTACATAAAAATGTACTAAATGAATTTAGTAGTAAACTAGCCTAGGGTACACATGTATCTCTCCTTCATTCATTCATTTAATGGTATGGGGATCGAACTCAGGACCTTGCTCTTATAAGGCAGGCGGTAGCACAACTGAGCTATCCCCAGCCCTCACTCATATTTAAAAGGACAGCATAATAAAATCATTACAAAGCATAACCAAATCTATGTTTCAGGGACTTTCTCACCTTCTGAAGTGGACATACATTGGTTTCATAAGAAAAATCACTACAATGAATATGTAATGACAGACAACCCTTAGCATTTTTAAAGACCACCGAATATATTGCTTTGATGGCTTTTAGTAAACATTCAAGGATACTGACTAAACTCAATCAGTTTAAAAAGCAAGTGTCTCACAATAAGTTATGAAATTATCTGTGGCAGAATTAATTTTGGATATACAAAAATCAATCTAATAAATGATTTGTCCACCTAAACTATATGAATTTTAGGATATCTTAACATAACTTTATGCCATATTAATTAATTTAAAATGAAGCTCTTAAACCAAATAATTTATTTTCAACATCCCAATAAACAGTGAAAGCTACAGCCCGCTGTTTGAGTTTCCAAAGAATTGTACAGGATATCAGTCAGCACATCACAGTTAATCTTACATTTATGTCTCCATGATTAGGTATTTTCCTCTCTTTTATTTTAAGTTAGCATGTTGTTGGCACTTGTTTCCAAATGTAACAATTAATTTTATGACTATGCTAACCAAAGTGACAGCAATCTTCTTCAAATTAAATTTTTAGTAAGTAACTAAAGCACTTGCAACTTTTTTAAAAATTTGATTTTTCCCCCTTTTTTTGGAGACAGTCTCACTATGTAGTTCAGGCTGGCCTTGAACTCATTATGTAGCCCAGGCTGAATTGGAACTCATAGCAACTTTCTGCCCCAGCCTCCTGTGTGCTAGGATTACAGGCATGCATCACCACGCCAGCAATCACAAACTTTCTTAGATTCTGAGCTCACAAAGTTAATTTCATAACCCTGTAAAACTTGATCCAAGTGCTACAACAATTCTGCATTTGAATTTCCTCACTTGTACATACAAACTCTAAGTTAAATGGGGCCAGTATTATCCTCATTTAAAAATTACAAAGAGTACATGGTTAATTAATAACTCATGAAACTGTATTTATTTCCAGTTCCAAAGGATGCTTCCACCTAAGAATATATCAAAAGATGGTTTATTCCATGTACTATGGAAGAGATAACCTCGAACCTTTGGTATCACAGTGCTCTTTCCAGTTGAGAGATAAGCAAGAGGCCCTCACATCAAACATGTGCAGCAAGGGAAGAAACATGTATTGCAATTTGGCAGAATCTTCTCATGCTAACATCCCCAATCTCGCTGCAATTATTCTAGTAAGTCAAGATACTCAACTCCAACAAACCACTAATCACGTGAGCAGCTAGCCTGTGATTATAAGCAATGATGAGAAGCCACAGCACCAAGTCAGAACCCAAACTGCTTCTCCCAGTGCTGAAGGAACTGACCACAGAGAGGTGGCTGTGGTCCAGAGTGCAATCGGGTAGTGGGTGAGTTCATTAGAAAATTGTGGTCTTCTGGTCCTTAAAGCTCAATAGCAAAGCTGCAATCTTCTCTCACCATCCAGCAGAAAAGCTCTCTGCCTGGGTCCTACCTTATGCACATTATTTACTTTACTCCCTCTGATGACTACATCCCAAGGTGCCTCATATACTAGGGTTGTGGTTCCCAAACTTATTAGCAAAGTACAAGACAGCAATAGATACTCTACCCAAACATTTTTAAAATACCTGGTTAAGTGACTGAGGGATACAAGGTAGGAATCTTATTTATTTTTCGGCAGTATCAAATGATCTGACATGACCCTTCATAAAGAAATGCATACACTTTGTTAAGCCAGCCTCTCAAAGCTATGGAAGAGGGGTCAATGATGTGCTAAAAATGAATGTGATACTATAGAAAACACTTCTAGACAGTCAGGGAAGGCTACAAGTATTTGTTTTTTAGCCCTCCTTTAACTGAACTGTATACTCACAGATGAGTCACTTAATTTTTACTGGGCTTTAGTTTATGACTTTGAGCTAGGTTCCTCCTAACTATAAAATTCATTTCAGTGTGATTATCTCATTCTGTCTTTAAAATCTTTTATGTGTTGTGCATTCGTTCTGAAATTTGTGCTTCTCAGTTTTCCCCCTAAAGGATGCTATGTTGATAAGCACATCACAGCCTCATGTTTGCCGATACATATAAATTATACATATTTATGGGGTATCATGATGTTTCATTACATGCATATATTGTGTACTGCTCAAATCATGATAAACATACCAATCTCCTCAAACAATTTCATTAAATTTTTATAATTTGCATTTTCCGATCATTTGGAAGTTCAAAAGAGTTCCTAAATAGCCTCTCATTTCCCTAGGATATTACAAAAGTAATTAGGCTGTTTACAATATGTGAGTGACAGAGCCATTTTAAGAAGGATGAACACATGTCTGTGTAGATGAGGGAAATTCCAGGGACCAAAATAAGTAGCGTTGGTAACCCACAATGTGGAAATAGAAGGCTGTTTTCTTACTATACTTCTCTCTACCGTGTTACAGAACCTTGTAGTGTTCAAGAACTAATAAATCACCTTTATTCCCAATAGGTCAGTATAACAACTGGAGCATAACTTTCTCCCTAATAATTTTAGAAGTTGAAAAGCGTATGTAGTTCAAATACGGCAAAGCTTTAAAAATGATTGGACTCTATACTACTAACATTTGTTAGCACTGTATACTACAGATGTGAGGTTAAGAAAATACCTCTTTTGATTTTTCCTCTTTGGTAAATCTTCCAAACTTTTCTATCATTTCAGCCACAAATATAACATCCATTTTGTCAGAGAAGTTGGCTGCTTCCACGGTGTAAGCCAGTAACTGCCGAGCTGTTGCCACAGCGTTTGTAAGATTGAGGGGCATCTATATGAGAAAAGGACAAGGAAGCGGTTTGAAAAATGGCTAAAACATTTTTGATATTTTAACACTGCATTTCAAGACATGGCGATGAACTGAAACTATTATTTACTCATCATAATCTTAAAATGCTTTTTCAAATTTTAATAGAAACTATCCCGAGGGACAATTTTTCAAAACCTATAAAGAAATATAATGATACAAAAAGCTCATATCTAGTAAGTATGCTGTATAGTCTCCTCCTCTGCTTATCCAACTTCTAGACATACCTCCTCCCAACTGCTCAGGAAAGCCTTTCTCAAAGACTCCAGCTGGGAGTGAACAATATCTTCCCAGAGCTCCGACTCACAGGAGTGTGAACCACTTATTTAGTATTTATCTTTATTACCATGCACTGCCAGTGATGCTTTCTATTTGCTTATTTGCTGGCTCAAACACCAACTTAGCCTCCACCACTGCAAAAAGGATAAACTAGTATGAAGGAGCAAAGAAAACTAACACCGAAGTATGAGTAACAGAATAACGCAGATGCTACCTCCCAGGTGCTCGCTGTTTGGTAAAGTTTTAAAAAGATGACTAGATGCACAGGTAGTAAGAGGCACCTAAGTCATGCAAGTCCCGAAAGGGCTCACTTCTGATAAATGGAATATAAAAGGATCTCAAGGTGTGGCTCGCCACATGGACTGGAAGAGTGGCTGGGATTCTGTGTGGTAGATGCAGGTGGCAAATATATCCAAAAAAAAAAGCATAGAGTCAGGCTGTAACTGGAAAGGAAGAGGAACATCGCACAAATGAATACATTTGTTCACAACTTAAAACAAATTTGAAGATTTTCTAATTACCTGATTAAACATATAAAGAACTCTAGTGACATCGTTTGCATATTGGCAGCGAGAATAATCATCATCTGCCCAAAAGCCACCTCTGTCACATCTGCGCCAAGCCTTTCTTTCATCCTGTGGGCTCCCAGGATAGATCCCGCTGCCATGGGTGTTCCGGGTGCACTGAAGATAAGCAGTGATGCCTGCCAAGGTTCTGGGCCACCTGCACAGGTGAGGACCAAATGGTATAAGAAAACCTAGAATGATGGAGTGAAATCAAATATGGCAACAATGGAGGAAAAACCAAGGATTTAGGATATGTTGCATACAACCACAGAGAAAAAAAAAAATCAAGAAAAAAAACAACCCAAAGCTCACTGAAGAATAAAGACTAATTTTTTTTTTTAAAGTTAACGTGGACTAAACTGTGTTAGTCTACCAGCTGAGTATATTTCAATACTGTACCATGATAGTTTTCTAAAACAAAATTCTAAAGCTTTCTAAATTATCACCACAAAGACAGGGAAATTGCACTGTACCCAGTAAAATATAGAATAAAACAGTCATTTGTAGAAAAAATGGATGCATCTTGAGAGTGTGATGCTAAGAAAAATAAGTCACAGAAAGTTAAATATTGCATTGTTTATTATATAAGAAACTTAGAATATTAATAATTTAAAGAGAAAACTAAAAGGTAGCTAAGAAACAAGAGAGACCTGTGGAGATGGGAAGGGGATCTGGAGATGATGGGGAGGGAAAGTGGAAGTAAAAAGTATTACGATGGATGTGCATATGCACCCTTCCCCAGGATGAATGCATTTATTGTGTACCACAAACATGTACTGATAAAACCCATTTATGAAAACAATTTTGGTGCAACAGATGGTTTTCTTGTGTTTTGGCCTCATAACTGTTGGTATACTGTTGGCTTATAAAACCATCAGGCATCCAAGGGATGACTTTTCCCTGATATGAACAGATGGCCTTCTGTAGAAGCAGGATTGGTATATGTATAGAAAAAAGGTACCACAGCAGGCCTCAGACTGCCATCCATCTGTAAGAGATGCTACTTTCAAACCTAGTTTGTCAGTGGTTAACAACTTGAAGAGCATTCTGGTATTCCCAAAGGCAGTAAACTGGTAAAGGTAGCTCACTCTGCTTAAACTGTTAGGCCATGCAATACAGCTTATGCTGATGATCTACTTTCCTCCTGAAAAACTAGACTTTTGGTCTATGCGAAGTGGAGGGGGCTACGTGACCAGCTCCCAGCAAAAGCTTTTGGTGCAGAGTCTCCAGTGGGCTTGCCTTGGCAGAAACACTGTACAAACACTGATGACTTTACATGGCTGCTAGCAGAATAAACTATCTGTGCCCATCTGGCACAAATATGCCTGTTCTTCTAGAGCCTACCTGTGCCTGTGTCTTTTCCCCATATGCTACAGCTACATATTATGCCACACTGACATTTATTTTAGCTCAGAGTACAACTGTATGCTGAGTCCTCTACATTCTTCTGGCACATTTCTGGATGTGCACATGGTCTTAAAAAACTCCAACACAACATAGAACAAAATGTATCGGGAAGAAGCTCACTAGACCAGAGAGTATGTAATCCCACTGACATAGGTTAAGACTCTTTGGAGCTGAGAAAAACGTTTGTTATTTGAGCTCTATTTCTCCAAAAATGGAAATGAAATTAAGTATATTTCAATACAAGTTATGGCTGATTCACACCATGGGAACCACTAAATTATAGTATCAGCCACATCAAAATAGAATTCATTATCAAAACCATATAAATAGATCAAGCAACACAATTAAATCTTATTAATAATGCAGTGGAAGTTTAATTGTATAATATTTTAAGGAGTGCCAAAAGATAAATAATTCATTAATCAGTTAAACATTTAGGTTTTTGTTCTATCTTTAAAAACAGAACACTCAAAACTATGACTAAATCAGAAAATCTACCATAAACAAAAAACATGATTATTTAACAGAAGATGCTGACTATAACAAAGTTAACCAATGTTATCCATATTTAAAGTAAGCAATATAAATGTAGCTCAACATTCAATGCTCGTAAAAGATATCCCTTGGCAATAATAAATGCTGGTTTCTACATGCACATGTCAAAAATAATATTTTTTTAATTTAAAGAAAAAGAACAACAGAAAAGCAATAAAGATATAGGTGAATTAATGATGTTATTGTTGCTTCTTCTCCTTGGATTGGAAAGATTAATACCAAAGGGCTTTCTTACTCTTAAAACACTGGGATTATTGTGCAAAAGTGGCAACAGAATCCAACAGAGACAATGCAAACTCAGCATTAAATAATCTTTACACAGCCTCAAAGAGTATTATGGTCCCCTTTGTTTATATCAACTATAAACTCATTACTAAAAATCTCTGAATATAAAGAATATCAAGGTAATAATACACCTAAAGCTGTGTTAAGAAACAGCGAGTAAAGCACTCTAAAGTAAAAGTTGTTAGGGCTGGGGATTTAGCTCAGTGGTTCTGGCTCCTACTTTGCAAGCAACAAGGGCCTGAGTTTGATCCCTGGAACCAAAAAGAAAAAAGAAAAAAAAAAAAAGTTTAAAAGTTGTTACTTCTCACAAGTTCTAAACTTTCCACTAAAAAATAAAATTTACTTGTTTACCTTAACATAATTCCAAAAAATCCCCCCGCAATTCTAATGATTTTTCTCGTTTCAAGTTACACAATGGCTTTTGTTTCCCAAAGTTCTTGTCATTTAATTGACAGAAAAATGGAATAGAAGAAAATTAAGTAAGCGTATCTCGTAATTATGATGTCACAACTGCCAATAGTTAAGCGACTCAGCAACAGAAAAATTTAGAGTTCGTTCATAGAAGAATCTTTGAGAAACAAGAGAGTACCATTACCCTGTCTGAATTTTATACTATTTTCACTGAAATGTTTCCCTAAAGTAGTAGTTTTTAAATTATATAACAAAACCATTTGTTAAAAATGATTTTACTTTCCAGAGATTCTTAAACCAAGAGGTCTGAAATAAAGTTCAGGCATTAAAAAAAAACAAAAAACAATCTCCATCAAAGATTCCAATACTACCATTCTAAAGGATAGTCTTTAGACAAACATATAAAGATATGTGTTCACTTTTCTCAAATTTTGTTACTGAGGATGGGTATCTAATTAAATGCCTCTGAGAATAAAAAGGGTTTGGACAAATCAGACTTTTCTAGTACTTTCCACATCACTGACCTGAAATCACCTTTATTGTTCACCACTCTCTCTGGGGGACAGTACTGCGCAGAGCTTTCTAGTACTACAATATCGACAGTTCTTGTGTTGTTCCCACGCTTAGTCTGGACATGACAGCCCCAGTTTCCAGTAGATCCAGCCTGAATATTAGAAATCGTTAGGGCACTGCATGGAAAGAAGATTTTGAAAAAGAAAAAACGTGATTAGGCAAAAGGGGAGATTATGGGTTTCAATCATTCATTTAAGCAAATAGATCTGAATGCTCATTGTGAGCCACGTGCTTGCTAGACAAAAGGATTAAAAAACTGTGACCTCTCCCTTTTAAGTCCTTCTGTCCAAACAAGCAAGGGGAGGGATCCTTAAAATACGGTAAGAGTAATGAGAGGAATACTGATGAAGTTCAATGGCGTACAGTATGCGAGGCTTCTCCTTCCAGCAAGAGAAAAGCAGGGCGTGGAGGGACCCGAACGGCCAGCCCAAATCTGAAGTATCTCAGCAGCTGTTGCAACAAAGCTTGGAGAAGTTTCTAAGTTACCTCTCTCTACCTTTCAAAGATTCTGACCAAAATACTCAAGCGCGAAGGAAGGATGGCAGCATTGTGAATTACATAACTGAGAAAACATTTCAGGTAAAATAGTTTCTGAGAAAGGGAAACAACCTGTAAAATCTCTAAAAGATTTAATAACAGCCAACTATTAGTTCATAAAAGAAGTTCCCTTATAAAGGTATATTTCCATTTATAAAACAGCTGTACTTCTAAATGGCTCTCAGTAAATCTCATTTTTGAGATTAAATCATAATTTTCTAATCTAAAACCTACTAAGTATAAAGCAAGTTTTAGAACCTTCAATTAACCTTTATTCCCCCAAAGGACCCATTGAACTTTACTGTTCTACAGACACAAATGATAAGAAATAATTAGAAATCAAGAACATACGTTTTAATTAACTTATAAATTTATGTCTTGAAGTTAATACACATTTGGTCTCCTAAATCATTGATGACTGCACCAAATGTTCTAATAAGGACTCTGAGGCTCTGTTATATTGAGTCATTAAAGAAAATGTTTATTAAATTAGAAAAATAACTCAATAACTATCATGAATATTTTCAAGACCAAGTGACAAAAAGAATTTGATACTAATTTAAATAACCAGAAAGTTTACAAACATTCTACTGTGGCTTTGGAATGAAAGAAACAGGAAAGTCACTTGGCTATAATGAATTAGGAAGACGTGTAAAGAAATTCTGCCAATGAACGTCATTCACTAACCCAGAGCTTCCCAAGTTTTCTTAGCTCTGAGACTTTAATAGGTAAAACCTTTTTATGGGTCAGCTAATCCCCCACAACAGTGTTGCTAATTACTAAAAAACTTCAAATTTGTGTATTTGTTTCAATAACTTAGCAAGCACGTGGAAAAATAACACATAAACTTGAAATAAAATTTTATTTTAAAATAATAAATCTTATTTCTTATATCACTATGATTTCTTCATAGGATGTGAGTGTCTGTTTGGAACTCCAAAAATTATCCCACATCAGATTCAACCAGACAGTGACAGTCACTCTTCTTCCACAGTAACTTCCACATGAGAGTTACTTTCCCCCTCAGTAATTACCAAAGTCCACCCCCCGAGGATGGCACTGTAAAAGCGATGCAGCCTGGTCCACCTGCACACCGTGGATGGCAAGGCACACAGTGTCCAATCAGTGTCAAAGCCGGCATGACCTCCCCAGGTACTTAAAATGCCCTACAAGCACCTGTGCAGACTCAGTGTGCTGTCCCAGGGCAGGTGAGCATGATCCTTCAGAACTAAGGCCCTCATAAATTTTGCAAACTTCTGTGGCTAATTTAAACAATACTTTTAACGTCTAAAAGCAATCACTGCAATAAAATTTCCAGGAATCCTCTAGGCAGCAGATCTGAAGATTCAAGGACACTTAGGGAGAAAGCAGCAGCTCCAGTTTCATCTTCTAAGAAAACTACAACCATTGATGCTTACTGATTAAAAAGACATGAGGAAACCAGTAAGGAATCAATAAGCATCTCACACCAATTCAGTAACAACATATTTCCTGCTACAACTTTCATATCATTGTGGGGCTAACTTTGGGTAAAGAACTGCAGTCTTTATATGAAAGATTTTTACCTTAGTCTAGTGCTCATACCAACAAAAATGTTAATCTAAACTACTATCCTTACAATTAATTTTTCTGTACTTCTATAAGGAGTTAAGACTAAGCATGACCTACAAATACTGATTTATAAAGTAAATTTACTTAGTTTGTAGCAACACAGCTTATTTTCATTTAAAAAATTATTTAGAAAATGGATTATTCTACTTTTAAAGATTTATTTTGCATTATATATGTATACATATAATAGTGTACAATTTATTGTTTTGACCTAAGTACGACTATAAAATTATCACCACAGTAAAAAATAGTGTAATAATGAATATAGCATTTCTAACAATTAATATTACACCATAGTAAGGGAATTCTGCTTCTGGTAATGGCTGAGTAGTTCATAGTAAGCCACCCTTCCTGCAGTTAGAAATTATAAACTTAGAAGAGTGGGCAAAAGCAAAGAAACACTAAAGAGAAACTGATACTAAGAAGAGGAGATTAGCACTGAGGAGTAAGCTGGAAACTTTTTTTCTGGCTTTTGACCAAGAGCAGATCCCAGTCAAACAAAATCACAATCCTACTGGCTTGACAAATCAGCAGACAGAGGCAGGAAGGAACCTGGCTAGAAATGAGGCCTGTATGCACAACATCCACCCACATCTGTTACTGACCCCTGAACTAGGCACACAGGTAGGGCAGGCACCGAGATTTCTGCTGCCACCGACTGGAGTTTGAGACTTATCAAGCTAACTGCCTGATCAAACAAAAGCGGTCCTGAGAAGAATGAAACCGAATCTAGAGTTAGGAGTCAACATATTTTTCTTCCAAGGTCAGAGAGTAAATATTTTAACTTTGTTAGCCAGGAAGAAATATCAAGGATATTACAGCACTGCACAGGATATATTCCAACATTATTACTAGATAAATAAATAGTATTTTTACAAGCCGGAAAGTATAAGCCATATTCTTGGTTTGTTTTTTTGTTTTGTTTTTTTTAGTACTGGGGATTGAACTTGAGTCCTTGTGATATAAGCCATATTCTAAAGCAAAACAATAGTAATGACCCTAAGAGGACCCAGAGGTTGGAATTACCAGGCAAAGATTAAAAAATATTTATTATATTAGAATGAATGAATGAATGGATGGATGACAAGTAGAGGATATAAAAATATGCCTCTAATAGATAGGACATTTCATGAAAAGTTATAAAACAGAAAATTCTATTCAAGAAGGGCCCAGACTTAAATCTCAACTCAGAGCAGCCTTAGTTTCTGGCATTTTTTTCACACCAACTTTGTACTGGTAGTTTGAAAACTACAGTTCAAACTTAACAGAAATTCAAGCCAACATCTAGGTAGGCAGACAGGTAGATCAGCTGATGAAAAAGAAGGGAAGGAGGGACATAAAGAGGGAAGGTACTCAAAGGTTTAAGGAAAAGATCTACCAAACTAAAATAACTGGTGTGTGACTTATACATTTTTAAGCCTATTTTATATTTATTTTATAAAGTTCATTCAAATCAACTACTATGGCGCTCACATCAATCAGGATTAAGCACTCAGATGTTACATTCTTTTACACTCACAGGTAGAAAGAATTAAACTAAAACATAATATTAACCACAAAACTAAACAGCAAAAATCAGTTAATTCTTACAAGTAAAAATAAGAACTTAGCAGAAAATAGTTAAGAAATTAAATTTCATACTAAAAGTTTACATTTTTCTTCTGAAAGTGTTAAACAAACACTTCAATTGTTTATGTATTTCCATTTCATATTAAGCACGAGATGAGTAAGAAGAAAGAATAATACTAGATGTCTGCATTTCTAAATGCAATAAGATAAAATATTAATTCAAATCTCAACTAAATACAACTTCAAAAGAATAAATAAAATCCAGAAACAATTCTTTGTCTACAAAAGTTTACCTTGCAATCAACGAGCAGTTGTGAATCATGTTCTTTTCAACAAAGATACCTTGGGATTCATCGGTTTCAACTATTCGCCCGTCCTGGTACCATAACACCTGCATGTCCTGGTCAATGTATGAAGCCATGCACTGGAAGGGAAGGCTGTCCCCTTCAAACACAACCTGGCGGTGAGAGGGAGTCATGTAGAAGGATGGCAGCTCCAATGGAGGATCTAGAGACAGTAAAACAAACACTTAGTGAGCATACATCTCACACACTGTAATTTAAAAATTATACAAATTCTATGTAAAATTATAAAAACAGAACAGCAAATACTCTTTGGAAACCAGCATTCTAATGTCAATACTAAGGAAGCTGTTACTGAATTACATGGGGCTGTGGTTTGGTTCAACCCTCAAGGGCTTGCTTAGATTAGAGCTTGACCCCCAGTCAGCAGTGTGTAAGTTGACAAAAGCTCTAAGAGGTGAGGCCTAGGGGCTGACGAAGGATTCACCGGTGGCCCTTTCCTCAGCCAGGTAAGCTGTTCTCCTGGAGGACGAAGTCACGACAGCAGGCTATTCAAACAACCAGAGCCTGGCCCGCAAACTGCACCCTGGCTACAGTCTCGCTTGACTCTAGTTCCCACCCGTGTTTCTACCCTGAGGTCATCAGCCATGAGGCTTTCACCAGAAGGCAAACCACCAGAGTAATCTGATCTTGAACTTCCAGCCTCCAGAACTGAGTGAAAAGTACTTATTTTTGTTAGAAAGTTATCCAGCTTCAGGAATTTTGTTACAATAATGAAAACCGACTAATATTTCAGTAGTAGACAAAAACAAAATTAAGAAAAATTAAAATGAAACCATCTCATATTCAGTTCTAGTATTTAGAGTTCTTCCTTTTTGGTGGTACAATTAACACTATCAAATGATCACAGAATCAAACTAAAAAAAAACAAGTTGTGTAACAATACTTAAATCTAGAAAATTGAACCAGTAATAAATGCTGCTGACATTTATCATTTTAAAATACATTTTTGAAAACAAATTACAGTATCTCTGATTAAAACAGGTTTCTGGTTGTAAAGGTAATGCATATTCATTGCAGAAAATTTAGAACATTAAAAAAAAGCAAAAAAATTTCTTTTAAAAATCTCATCTTTTATAATCACTTAGTGAAAGATGATATATTTCCTTCCAGTCAGAAAAATAAGAGGCAAAGATTTTAAATATAAATATGCAAAAATGTACAGCCAGCTCAATAAGACTTTAAATTATTTAGTTAATTTGTGTAACACAATAATTCTATTTTTAATAGTAGTGTGTCTTGAATAATAGCAAACATGCAAAAATATACAGAGAAATTAATCATTCCATTATTTACGGAGTGAGAATTTATTAGTAAGCTAAGTATGCAGTAATAAGTTCTTAAATTATGGCTACAACTATACAGTACATCCTTATGCGTGTACTTTGTGATAAGGAGATAAGTTTACACAACTTAACCTTTTAAAAGGTTACAAAATATCATAGAATATATTTTTGTCAGACTAAAGAAAAAGGTACAAAAGATAATATCAAGGTCTCAACACTACCTGTTTATGAGTGATAAGAATGAACATATGAGCTTTGCTTGTTTCTTTTAATTTTCGTTTCCCCTCACAGGCCTTAATTTTTATTCGATGAATATATTGTACTTGTGAAATAATAATGATAATGAAAGAAAAAAGGAGAAAAATTGTTATTTCCAAACACAAATACTAGACTGAAACTCCCTTTGTTATTTTACATTTGGTTTATAGGTTGTTTTGTTTTTAACCTGGTAAACATGCTATTTCTCTCATGCCTTCAGATATTCTTCAAAATAATTATTTCCAAGAGCTACCGATTATTTTTATTCAATGGATATATCAAAAGTAATTAGACCATTCCTATTTTTAAGAACTCAGGATATGCTTATACATAAATTTTCAACATTTACATATACACGTGATATTATTCAAAGAAAGAGCTTTAAGACACTGAGTTATTGGATCTAACTGCATTAGTCTTTAATCACACTGACACATACTGCTGAAATATACTTCCAAACAATTGTATCACAGGCTGTGGTGGTGTAGCTCAGTGGTAGAGCATTTGCCTAGCACACTTTGGTGTCCTAGCTTGGATCCTTAGGACTACAAAAATGAAGTAACAGAAACAAGATTACATCATTGCATCAACTCACACTTCCATCAACAAAGGTGTGTATTTTTACTACTAGGAATAAATTCCTGATTTTCTTCCAACTTATAGAAAATCTCAATATCTATGCTGTTCTTTGAAATCACTTTTCATAAAGCTGTTGAGAATCTAAGAAAAGCTAATTTAAAGCCCAAGTGAAAAAACAAAACAATGTCTTTTAATCCAGTCAGCTTAATTTTTATCATAAACTTAATACCCCATTCTCTAAGAGTAACAGTTGTATTTCAGGTCCATCCAAAGAATTTTACAGTGTTTGAAGAAAAACACAGGAGGAATCAAAATATGATAAACATTTTCTCAATTTTTATTTCTTCCTTACCGCATGTCAACAGCTCCTGCTTCACACCTGTGACTGGCTGAGCTTGAAGTGACTTAGGGTAAACACACCTGGTGTCCCGTACAGTGACATTCCTTTCCTTTACCCAGCGATGCATCCACAGTATGTTACAGTCACACAAAAGATACTCAGTCTGAAATTCTCTGTAACACAGAAATTAGAGAAGACAGTGACGCAAATTAAGTAGCACCGCTATTTTACATTGGTTTACCTTTCTGTTGCAACAATACTGCCCACCTCTACCAGGTCTGTTCCATACACCATCAACTGGCCTTCTATCCAAGGACCATCATTGGAGTGTTGGGTCCCAACCCTCTTTCCCACTGATACCAGAGCTCTACTTTGAACCAAAGAAAAAGTCATCAGATATCCCTCTTCTACGCAGCGAGTTACATAATTCCAAAGTTGTGGAATACCAAATTCTCATTTTTTCTGTCTATCAAACCTATATCTACTTATCACAAAGCATATGGCAATAATTTTAAATCTTGAAGCCTCCTCCAATTTTTCAGTATCACTGCCAACATACGTGGTCTAAATGTGTACACTCTCTGCTGTTGATGTTGGCAGTGGAGAGTAACACAAAACAATACGGGGACTATTTTGTGCAGCTACATTCTAGACATCTGACAAGACTGTAGGGTTATCAAGGGTGGAAACTATTTCTGACGTAACTTCCTAGGCACCAGGTGACACCACAGATATTTACAAATTTAAGGGATAAAGATTCAGCACATCAAAAATATACAAGTAAAAATATTTCATATTTGATATAAAAGAAAACAGAGAACTGTCTCTAGGAGAGACAGAAAGCTTCGTCATGACCTTGGAGAGGGGAGACACAGGTTGGCTGGACACAATGCATATGCAACACTTTGCTGAGTACTCCTTTCACTAAGCATCCACTCTTCATAGGGCACATTGTGATAAATCCAGCTAATAAAATAAACAAGATGCTACTTCCTGCCAATATGAAAGGTATCACATAATAGGAGGAAGACAACATAAATATAACTGCAATAGAATGTACAAAACATTCCATAAAAATGAACCAACAAAGTGCAAACAACACTCCTAAGTCTGCACATGTCTAACACTGACCGTGCATCTGAACAGGGATTGCCTCACTAGTTTGGGGAAAGGGGGAGGAAAAAGCAAAAAGAAAACAAATTTTAAAAATATACCTATAGAATAACCTGATTTCTAATTCCCAAGCACCACCTTCTGGTTAGTTCCTAACACTGCCAGGTAAAACACAGGCAACATTTCCCATCTTCTGAATAAAAACTTTCCATATTCCTGCTGCTCATGAAATTAAAAAGTTACATCATCTTTTGCAACTTTATTTCTTCAACTTCAGAGAAAGGATGAGGATGTGACTCAGTGGCAAGCACTTGCCCAGCATGTGCAATGTCCTGGGTTCAATTCCCAACAACAGAAAACAAAGCAACAGGCTGAGCAATGCACGCCTGTGACTGCAACACTCTGGGACGCTTAAGAAGGATCTCAGGTTTGAACCCAGCCCAGGCAAGGTAGCCACTTAGCGAGTGCCTGTCTCAAAATTAACAAAAATAAAAAGGGCTGGGATGTAACTAAGTGCAAAGGCCAGGGTTTAACCCCCCAGTACTGCAATAAATCAACATCAAAATCTTGAGAAATGAGCCCAATAAAGATGTCAAAAGGAGCTGTTCCCATTCACAAGCACCCCTCTGGACAAAAATGCAGTGGCTCTGAAAACAGAGGCCACACAAAATCTGACCTGATTGGACCCTAGAAGCACAACTCCCCCACAAGATGGGGGCAGCCAGATGAGAGCTCTGACTGCTGACTCCAGTTCCCTTGCCCAGAGAAACTGGTAACGATACTGAAATGACACATCTGCAAAAGGAAAGGGGCTGGGGAACAGTTGGAGAAGGCCCTGAGTTTGACTCCTCAGCACTACAAAAAGTGGGGGGAAAGAGGAAGGGAAGAGAGCTACATACTCTGAACAAAGGCATCTGGTAGAGAAGAAATTTTTCCTTGGAAAAAGACTCAATCTTATCAACCGCACAACACAGAGGAAAATGGAAAACAGTAACTTTAACAGTAATTGCAACAGAAGTTAGAATAACTTACAGTTTGAGATAGATTAAGGTTTATCTGGAAATACAGTCACTTTCAAAAGTGACTTATCAAATTTTGTCTGGGGAAAATAATTAACCAATCCTTACAAAGTTACATATAGCTGTGTGAATGAGATTTTATACCAACTTCATAAAGCAGGCTTTCAAAAACATCCCTAAAAACACCAGTAATAAGTTGTGAATTCAGTATGGATAGAGATTACAGGATAAAATTAAATCCTTAAAGTATAAACTATTCTTCACCACAAATACTTCATCAGAAGAATAGTTTATACTTTAGAGATTTAATTAGTGAAACAACAAAAACAATTCCTGATTTGAAAATACAAAGAGAAACAATTACCAATTTATTTATTCTGAACCTAGATAAGAGTGATAAAGTTTTCTGAGAAGAAAATGGCCATCCTAGCCTGGAATGCGTTATTCAGACTTGCTATGTATTTTTCAGTGAATATAGGTTTTTCAAGTAAGAGTTTCACTTTTGCAAATTCACAAGATATCCCTCATGGAATCTGTTAATGAGTGCTTTTAATTTTCATTTTACATAATGAATGCTTTTAATTTTCAAAAATGAATATATGTTTAGTAAAACAAAAAATTACTTACAAAGACCGCAATGAGCCAAGATAATCAAAAGTTCCTTGAGACAACGAAGAAAATAAATTCCCTGAAAGGTTTCTGGAAGAAAAGGAAATCACTTCGCTTTAAAAATTATTTACAGTTTTATTATATATTTTTCCACATTTAAATGCCCAATCGTCATTATGTAATGTTATAAAGAATTCATCCAAGTGTTTTATAAAGGATGAGCATTGAGTAAATTTTCTCTAGTACTGGGGGAGAAAAGGTATTCTTAACCCTATACAAAGCAGTTGTGAACATTTTAAAAACTATTGGTCCAGGATTTAGCTCAGTGGTGTTGCACCTACAGCAAGTTGCTGAGTTTGATCCCTGGTACCACAAAAAAAGAAATAAACCCCCAAAATTAATGCCATGTAAGGATTTTTCTATGGAGTATCAGGTGATCCTAAAAGGATTTGTCCAAAATAACTCTTCATATGTTCACTCTCCATGATCTGAAAAGGTGAGGGGAAGGGAATTACAATCTTAAAAAATAAGAATAAAATACTGGTCTCCCTGATCAGCATCAGAAACACACTGAAAATAAGCGAAAAACCACAGAAAAATGTTGAGTGCAGCACCGCAAAGGAGATGTTGACTATAATGTAAGCTTAGTATTAGGCAAATTACCTAGCCTGTGAGTTTCTCTTGTATCAGATGGCTTTAATATTCTACACTACGCTGCAACTGGAGTAGTCTGTAACATCAATGTAACTAGAAAAAAGTAATTCTACGAAGTCTGACTCTAAACCTGGGGTGCTGGAGTGGAGGGAGCACCCCACTGACAGCTGGAGCAGACAGCAGAGAAAGGTGGCTGGAAGCTAAGGACGTGCACCTCACCTTTGGGGACTTCGGGAAAATAGCAACATGGTCAGACTCCCCCAGGATCTGTCTTGTGAATCTTGTGTTACTGAGAATAGCTAGAATTTAGAACTAGAGCTCTCAAGCAACAAGGTAGGACAGGGCACAGCACAAGCCTGCAGAGATGTGGGGGCTTTCAAAGATTAGTGCTCCCTTCTGGCTCTGTGGACCTTCTAGGTGTGGGAGAGAGCAGCAGTCTTTGGGTGGACCCTGCAGTGTGGTGAAAGGAGGGAAAGACCTGTGGAAGGGGAGTAGCTCCTGTCACACCTGCAGCCAGGATTCCTGGAAAGAGAGCCCGGCTCTCAAACAACGACCCGTCTTCACCTATCAGTACACAAGGATGTTCAGTAAGAACAGCCTAGACTTGCTTTTATATATGTTTAAGGATTTTTTTCCAGGTAGAGAGTCTGGATGAAATGCTTCTGATCCTTATAGGAGAAGTGCCTGAGAACTTTAAAAGAAGTGAAAGTACACATGTGCAGACTGAAATGGCAACGAAAAGAAACCCCTTTCTCCTTTCCAGCCTATCAGAGTAGAAACCAAACGTGGATTCTGAAAAAGATACTTGATTGATGGGAGTGTGAATCATTACAATTTAAGAAAACAATATTTATTCCATTATAATGAACAAATGTACTTTTATGATGCTCTTCTACATGAACCTATATGAATACGGTTCTTGTTTATAATGTGAGCAGCATGAAAAATGGGACATATAACCAAATAAAGAAGGCTTCTGAGTTGTAAAGTATTGAAACTGGGCAATGGGTACACATTAAACTCGTTTGTTTAAAGTGTATGTGCTGCCAACGTGAGCACCACATTAATTCCTTATACAGCTAATTCTCATTTTCATTTAGATGGCCTCTTACTATTATGAATAGTAAGTCAGAAACAAAAAAATCCGTCCTACAAAAGCCGGATTTAAATATAAATAGAAAAATTTCATTTTACAGCAACCACCGGATCCTAGTATATTTATTATTAGATATTTTCCCTTGGAAATCACAGAAAAAGGAACCACACCACAGAAGTAAATTTCAACACAAGCCAATTTTCCTTCAGTGTTTGAGAGGGGGGAAAAAACCCTGTTGTTTAGCTGCACATCAAGTAATTGGTTTGAGGTTGGGGGCCACAAAACATCACGTATTTTACAACACTAGAAACATATTCCAACATTGAGATGCTTACAAACACAGCCAAAGGGAACTGAAAATGACACAAAAAAGAACTAAAATTAGGATCCACAACAGGAAAGCCACTGTTCTAGTCTCAAAGTAAGCTCCCTGGGTGGTGTAGCAGGACAATGAGCCAGCTGCTCCTGCTCCCCCTTTACATTGGTATTTTTAACCGTCTCAATGTTTATACTTCACATGCTTCTTGCTAAACAGATACTGTGTGCATACACAGAGCTTTTGCCAAGGCACATTTTCAAAGGAGAAATATTCTGTAGCCATGAAAAAGCATGAACTGAATCAACAAATATTCTCTTACTGGTACATTTTTAAAAAGTATACTGCCAAGAGCCAGGCATGGTGGTGCACACCTGTAATCCCAGCACTCAGGAGGCTGAGGTAGGAGGATCGCTGTGAGTTTGAGGCCAGCCTGGGCTACATAGTGAGTTCCAGGTCAGTCTCAGCTACATAGTGAGACCCTGTCTCAAAAAACCAAAAAAAAAAAAAAAAAAAAAAAAAAACCCAAAAAAAAAAAAAACAAAAAAAAACTGCCAAGTACAGTGCATTTTTTAAAGTCTTGTACATGTGGCTACACATATGTGAGGGCAACAGAAAAAAAAGTGTGAAAATACATATGTCAGATCACTGACAGTGGATATCTCAGTGTGACCAAAATGAAAGAGGAAGAGTAGATTTCTTATTTTCATACTGTTTATTTCTCAATAATAGTCATAATTTCTGTATATTTTTGCATTTTTGTCTAAAGGGAATTCTTTATGCAAACATTTTATATCCATAGAATTTTTTGCATAAAGAAAATTATATGGAAGGTTGCTATGCATGTACCTCAAAGATTTTTGATAGGAAAATACTATGGACAGAAGTCTTTGGGAAAAAAATACAGGCTTTAAATTAACTTTCTAAGAAAGGAAGAGGACGAATGTTGTTTCTGTGGTCAGCTAGCTGCCCCCAAGAGAGAGGCACAGCCTGGACACCTTTAGGAGTGCAAGACCATTTACCTGGGAGTGCTCAGGAGAACAGCTCCACCTGGAAGAGCAGGGGTCAAGACAGAGAAGCATCGATTTTACACCACCAAGCCCAGCCCGTGTCCATGGAGGCCTCTGAGTACTTACAGAAAGTTGTTTTTCAATGTGTAACTGAACCCCCAAAGCAAAGGCTTGCTTCAAAATGATGATAAGCATGTACAAAACACGCTGTCTGGTGCAGCCTCTCAAGGGCCTCAGCATCCAGCCCTCTTGCTAAGAAGCCTGGTGAGTCTCAGGTCCCCACTGCCAAGGTGACCCAGAGAGTTTGCTGAAGAACTGGCAGAGGAAAGAGCTGAACAGAGCTCCATTCAAGACTCATTTTCAGAGTATCTTCCAGGACCTGACTCCTACAGGACAGTTCTAGGTGCCCCGTTAATCATCAGATTTTCTTTTTCCACTTGCTGGAATGAGAGAATGCTCTTCCATCCTTGAAAACAACCTGTGACTGGCCTTCAGGACCAGTACATGGTTTGGCACACAGAGCTCAGAAATCTAAGTGCAAGAGTAGTCTACACAGGACATTTCTGCAGAGTTTCCAGATCTACAGCTCGAGACCAGTGATGGCATTGGTTCACCACCACTGCTTTAGACCTACGTGAACTCAAATCCTGATGAGTAATTTTACAGTAATGCAGTCTTCAATGTTAAGAAACTATCTCAAGTGCCATTTTCTCTTTAAAAATATGAAACAATTTAAGCCAGGTGTGACTGTGCACATCCATAGTTGCAGATATTTAGGAGGCTGTGGCAGGAGAATTACAACTTCAAGCCCAGCCTGGTAAACTAATACTGAGAGCTTGTTTCAAAATTTAAAAAAATACAAAGGACAGGGGATGTAACTAAGTGTGTAGGCCCTGGGTTCAATATCCAGCACTGAAAATAGAGGTTAGTGGTATTTAAAACACTTCAGCCTGGTGTATTTCTGTATATCACACAGATAAAACCATTTAAAAGAACCTTAATAATCTCTTATTATATAGGCTATAAAAACATCTCAATCAAATCTCAAAATAGGAAGCCTGAAAGTGTTACTTCTACATCTTAATGACTTACCTGGACAAACATGTTCACTGTGTTCTCTGTCCTGTAAATTTTCACAACTGTTATCAGACAACTGGTAAAAATGTAAGATATGACCTAAACTGTGCCCAAACTACTCTAGCTGGGGATTTAGCTCAGTGATTCCGCTGCCTGTCTGGCAAGCACAAGGACCTGAGTTCAATCGCCACAACCAAAAAAAAAAAAAAAAAAAAAAAAAAAAAGTAGAATTACGGGAAATATAAAGCAGTCCTTAAAACTAAAAATACACTGGGATGGGATGTGGGGAATTAGGATACAGAATAGAGGGAAGGGGAAAGGGAAGGAAAAAGGATCAAGATGTGGTATACATATGTACCAACCCCCAGGATGAATGGATTTGTTATGCAAGACAAACTCATACTAACAAAAAGGGGGAAAATACAAATATCTCAAGAACAAAAGTAAAACTGAAAAGGAAATGTGTGCAGCTCAGTTCTAAGAGTTAAAATATGACTGATTTAACTAGTTTCAACTCGTGAGTAAACTATATCAAATCAATTTTTTTTTCTGTAGTTCTGAGGATTGATCCCAGGGGTGTTCTACCACTGAGCCACATCTCCAGCTTTTTATTTTATTTTACTTTGAGAGAGAGTCTCTCCAAATTGTCTAAATCAGCCTTAACGTTTTGACCTTCCTGCCTCAGCCTCCCAAACAGCTGGAATTACAAGCATGCACCACCACACCTGGCCACAATCAGTCTTTTACTTAGAAACATAAAGTAAGCCATAGATAGATCCCCCCAAAATTAAAGAACACTAGGAAAGAAAACATCTGCAAGTCTCCTGACAAAGAAGTGGGAGTAATTTGTCCTATAATAATTACAAGTCTCTTCTCTTATTATACACATGAAATAACCGCTCTATTTAAACTTCTAATTGCTTTCTCAAAGTGAGCTGAATTAAATAAAAGAACACTTCTAAAAGTCTCCAAGGAGAAGGAATCAAGAATGGACCACCGTGTACCAGATCTTCCACTGGAAATACGACATTTCATGCTGATCGCTATTCACAGACTGCTCATCTAACACATTAGTTTATCCATTTTCTCATTCTCATGCTGAATAGTGGGTTCCTAATCCTGAATCAGTCCCAAGCCTCTGACTGCTTTTCATACATTTCCAACATAAAGCTTTATAGGCAATCAGCCTTATTTCTTATTACTCCCAAAAGGAGTATTTTTATTTTTAAAAATTGATAGGTTATACAAAATTCTTTCACATTTATAGATAGCTACAAATAACTCAAGCCTTTAAATAACTTTAGGTACTACTGATCCATCTTTCACTATAAACAATAAACAGAGAAGTTCAGAAAAGTTAAACAACTCACCAGAAATCCTATGGTCAGAGGCATATGTGAGTGGTTATTTTACTCCACTAGCCTCCCTTAGAAAAACTGATATGTGTTCTCATTTCCCCCCCAAGCATCTCTAATTCAGCTTGTTTTCCTTCTCAACATTTGTAAATCTTGTAGAGCATCAGCTAGTTTTTTACCTCTTCCAAAAAATTTCCCTGCACTAGCAAAACTTTCAATCACATCCCTTAACACGAATGTGTCATCTTCTGTATGTGCGACATTATGTGTGTGTACCAGTGTGTGCACGCAAATGTTTATGGTGTGCTAATGTGTTACAGGTGCAGCATCCCTAATCAGAAAGTCCGAAATCCCAATGCTCCAGAAATCCAACACTTTTTGGGCACTGACATGACAGCACTAGCAGAAAATTCCATACCGTAACATTTGATTCATGTACAAAATATTTCTTTTGAGAAACTTTAGTCTCAGCTCAAGATCAGTTCATCATATACACACAAATATTCCAGTTATCTGAAAAAAATTCCAACTCTGAAATACTTCTGATGTCTAACAATTTGGATAAGGATCACTGGACCTGTATTATATTGAGGTCATTACATCCCCATGATTGTGGGCAAACTGTCCCTTATTGCTTTCATAATCACTACAGTTGCTTTCTAGTATTAAACATATTGTAGGTGTTCACAAACCCTTGGATTCTGGTTCAAACAATACTTTGTATCTTAACAGGAAAGAAAACGTACTTACAACCTAACCAGATTGGTGAGTCCTCGAAATATGTCTGCGTTCAGACATCCTATCCTATTGTTGGTCAGGTCCCTGAGGAGAGAGGACAGTGTCTGCAGTTAGTTCACTTAAATAATAAAGACCTTACACATTCCATATTCAAGAATGGCACCAAAGTGTCACAACACTCCTTTCTTTTCTGAATCTTTCAGATACTTGCCCACCTCCTGCGGGATAAGAATAGCACTCAGAGAAAATGACCCTTACTTTCACTTAGTTCTGGTACACACAAACTAAATGCTACTTAATTATATTTCAAGCACTGACTCCAGCAAAATTAGTCAAGATAAAGCTGGAGAGCAAAAGGAAGACTCAATCTATCTTACTGTTTGTGACACAATTCCTTGGCTGACCTACAGAGTTAATTATGCCAGGGCAGTGGGAGAACTGAGTCCAATCTCAGCCAGCAAATAGTAGATAATGGATAAAAGGGTAAATTATCAAAATGATGGAACTTTTATTTCCTCAAGAACATTTGAAACTTAATGCTTTTCCTTAACTACTCAGAAGTTTTGACTGTAATGAAAAAACAACTGAGTTAGCTTTTACTTTACAGATCTATCATTTAGTCTCAAGCCAAATTACTTTAACAGTACTAGGTAATGGCCCAATTATTTTTCAGTCAGTTCTAATTTCTATTTCCTGATAAATGCTATTTTCTAAATATTTTTTTCTTCACATCAACTCTATGGAGTATTTTTCTTTTCATGGATGTAGATTTTTTAGTACTTTGTTTCTCTGTAATCCCAGCACTTTGGGAGGCTGAAGCAGGAGGTTTGGAGGAGTACAAGTTGGTGCCCAGCCTGGGTAACTTGCCGACTTAGTGACACCCTGTTTCTGAATGAATGAATGAATGATTGGAGATGTAGCTTAGTGCAAAGAGGCCTTGGATTCAAACCTCAGTATTGCAAAAAAGAAAAAAAATCTTTTTCTTCGATTATTTTACTTTACCCCAAGAACAGTAAAGACAATTTTAATTTTGCATTTAATCAGAGACTTGCATTGATTGTAAGTGAAAAAGTTTAAGCTAGAAGATAACAAGTACAGTTTCTCTAACTTTCAAATTGAAATGCTATGCCTTTCATTACTTTTTTTCAGAGGTCTTGGTTAACTCTATGCAAGAAATCCCTGCAACAAAGAATTTTAATTTTTAGTTAAGTTTTGAATAATATACTTTGAATTTCAATAAAATTATTAGAAATAGCTCTCTCAACCAAACTTCCAAAAACTCTTATATCATGTAATCCTCAATGTCTGTGTTATTCTCTGTTATGGAAAAGTATGCATTCTTCGAATTATATTTTGAATTATTCTAAAAAAGTCATTTAAAGCACTATTTCCAAATGAAAACAGCTGCATTCAATCTGTGTAATTGGTAATGGAAGAAAACACATTAGTTTGACTATAAATTACAGTAACACAGCATTTGAACCAAGAACTACTCATTTGCTTTTTCTGCTAAGCACTCTAAAAGCTATATCAACCTGATTTTTCAACAACTTCATGGCTCCCCTTCCCTTTCTTATGGCAACTTTTGCTAAAAAAAATCTTAAGCAACACAATTCTTCATCTGTGCATGGTGAATCCCTCAATCTCCTCAGAATATTAAATTTAAGTATTTAATGGCATGGGACTTATTCTTTTTTATTCTAGTAGATTTTCTTTTTATTTCTGGGTTTTACTGTTTAAGAAAATTAGGCATCATCTTGTGAATTGTTGCTTAAACAGGCGTTTCTGAATGCTATTCGTTATCCTGTCTCAATTCTGAGCTTTAAATGGTGTAATTACCATTGATTCTTTGGAAACAATTTCATTATGGCTATACCTACTTAAAATGGAATTTAGGTATTGACAATGGGTTTTCATTTGGGTTGAGAATCAACTTGAATTTGTTGACAAAGCAGAAGAGAGTGAATGAGTCTTGGTTTCACCTATTTCTGATAGTTAATTTTTCAGAAAGCTGCTTAATCTTCCTGATTCAAATTATCTATAAACTAAAGGCAAAGGCATGATACACTTACGAAACACTTTTTGTGTGGCTGTTGAGAAGGATGTACAATTGAGAAGAATGATTTAAGAGCATAAGAAGAGTGCCTGTCTCTATAAGCAACGGCAGAGTATCTCTACATCCCATTTAATTTATACATAGGACTCCTTCAGCTTGCAAGTTGTGTTCCATAAGTTCAATTACAAGTCAGATGTTTGGAATTAGGAATGTATTTTCTACTGGGAAGAACATTATAAATGGCAATTACCTTCCTAGGCAAGAACATGAGAGACTACTTAATGTGTAATGCAATGAAAAAATGCTAAGGCAATGCCTAGTACAATATCAGTAATTAAATTAAATGCTACCAAACATGAATTTTTAAAATTTATTTTAGATGGCTGTACTTGAGAAATTATTTAGGATCAAGGACTAGATGGAGAACCTCTGTAGTATCTTTAAAACATCCTGATGAAACTGCTTTCTATTAAGTCAAACTACCTCAACCTACATCTCAGTGTAGAAGTATGACTCACATTAACCTTTGCATTACCAAACAAGCTGGGAATATAATGGTGTAGATCAGAGAGGGAACACGAAGTGGCCCTGTTTAACGTATGATGATGTCACAAGTCCTGCGAAGAAAAAGCTGGATAGAAAAATATTCTAGAAGGTCTCAAACTTAAGCATCAGGATCAAGGGGAGGGACAGTCCCCACAAAGACAGGTCTCAGCCCCAGGGTTTTTGACATGATAAGTCTAGTCCTACCTGGGATTCCTGCTGGAAGATTCGTGGTCTGCTTGGCATAGGTGGGAAATGACCCAGTATGAGCATCACTGTTCTAAATCAATCTCCTTGCTGCTGCCCTCTTTTTCTGAATGGCTACTTCTGGCTGTGCTTGCTGTGCAAGGCCTGCTCCATACACTTGCCTGAGTTTGTACGGCTAACAACCTCCAGACACCCAGCAGCTAAAACCTAGCCACTGCTTCACCTCTCTGGGACTAGTGGTCTGTTTTGCATCCAGGCTCTTGGCTGGTGTCACGGCTGCACTACACTCAAGCCTCTCCAGGGGTTCCTGGTATCTCTGGTGTCCAACACTGTAAAGAAATGGATCTGCTGAATTTCCACTGAAGTCAACTGGTAGAGTTCTTCTACCTTGCTGCTCCGATGACACTGCTACACCTGACACTGCTACATTGCTCACTTTAATGAACTAAACACCTGCCTGACTGACTGTAACTCTGACATTTCCTAATTCCCAGGCCGCTCCAACTCTTATCTCTATCTAGAGGTCCAAACTCTACTACAGCCAGATTCTGAGTTGTTTCATCGAAGAAAAAAGTACAAAGTGAGTGAAAAAGAAGAAAACTGAGTAGTAGCAAGCTTTCCTCCAGAAGTCACTGGGCTTCTACCGAGTAGAACAAGGAATGAAAATCATAGGGACCATTACTGCTCACACCGGGCAAAAGCTATGGTGGTGCAAGGCCACAGTCTACAGGCCCAGATGAAAAATTAAAAGTAATTTTACAAGACAAAGCACATCCTCTAAACACTTTTATTGTCCAACTTCCAGAATTCTGACCTCTAAAGCTGCCCATAGAAAGAGAAGAAAGATATAGATGTTAAGTTTTAGATTAAAAAAAAATATATGTATATATGTTTTATTTTGAGACAGGGTCTCACTATGTAGTTGAGAATGACCTGGAACTCACTATGTAGCCCAGGCTGGTCTCAAACTCACAGCGATCCTCCTGCCTCAGCCTCCTGAGGGCTGAGATTACAGGCGTGCATCACCACACCTGGCTTAGATAAAAGATATTTTACTGGAAAAAGCAATAATGCAGGGGATCATTGGTAAGATTACAGGCGTGCATCACCACACCTGGCTTAGATAAAAGATATTTTACTGGAAAAAGCAATAATGCAGGGGATCATTGGTAGAGCATTTGCTTAGTATGTACAGGTCCCTAGGGCTCAATCTCAATGCCCCCAAAATAAAAATAGTAGTAGTAATAATTTTTAAAACCCTGTGGAAATAGCATGAGGGTGATTTTGAACTGAAGGCATCTGAGAAGAAAGAGACACAAGAAAGTTTTCTGTTCTACTTCTTTGTCTAACAAGGCTTTAATTTAAAAAGGAGTCTTTCTTCTCTCTAGCAGGAAGGACAAAAGTTTCCCCTGGAGAGGACTTTACAGACCTTTACTAACCCTGAAGCCTCACCAGAGGACTCTACAGAACAAACATTACTAATTAGGCTTTAACTACTATTAGTTTCTCCTTTATTTGTCTTTCCACAATTTGTTGCCCCTAGAGACTTAAGGTCCTTTTCTTATGTCCTATCATTTCTATAACTCTGGCTAATCTGTCTTCTGTTATCAGGGTCCCAGTCAAGAACCTAAAGAGGTAGAGAGAAAATTATTTTCCTCCCCTAAACTACCTACTTCCCCTCAAGAGTCTGTGAGCACGGTAACAGACAGGGCCCAATGTTGTCTTCAGAGGGAGTACACAGGGCGAGGCAGTCTGCCTGGCTTAAGTGCGGTCATTTCTCAACTGTGAGAAACTGAAAAGTGCATGGAGGGAGGGAGGGCTCAGCTTTAAAAGTAATAAAATCTGACCTTTAGGTTTCAAAATAAAAATACTGTGATAAAATAAACATGAAAATGGCAAGACTTTCACATCAGTAATAGGTGTTCCTTTTATGTAGGTTATTTTTCATCATTTTATATATAGTTTGATTCAACTGTAACTTGCAAACCATCTGAAGATTAGGTTGTCCTGCAGAGCCACAGGTAATAATTTTATTAGCCTAAGAGGGACAAAACTATCCAGCAGGAAACAAACCACATTTATGCAAATTAACTGCATGCCAAGCTACTTATATTAAATTCTCTGTTCTTCTGCAAAAAGACTGGGCTAGATGAACCTCTAGAAATTATTATATATCCATTTATTATCATGCTAAAATAAGTGAATAACTACTTCTGAAAGAAACAGTTCAAATTCATAAGCAATTCAAACACTCACAATCTTTTTAGTGAAGACAGTCCCCAAAAGGCACCTGGATCTATACTACTAATAAGATTGTTCCGGAGGTCCCTGTTAAAAAATAAAATAAAATGAAAGTTTATTCACATAGCAGCACTGTAACAAATATCAGGCGCAATACACTTACCTGCGATGAGAAAAAAAGCAGTAACAACAGTGATGGGAAGAAAAAGAAGCCAAGGATAACCTGAGAAATAACTGACAGAGAATTAAATTTTGAGTAATATGGCTCCAAAGCTTTTTGCTTCGGCCAATATAAGAATAAAGGTATGTCATAAAAGCACATGTGTTTTCTAACATAATTCAGATCCAAGTTATCACTAAACTACAACCATATACATTATTTCTCCAATCTCTTCCTCAGCATGCTTCACTTTGGTTATCAAAGTACACGAGTGGCTGCTTTTATGACAAACATCATTACACTAAGTTTTTAAAAAAAATCTCTAAAAATGCACACTCTAAGATTAATGTCATTTGGGTATTTGTTGTTGTTACTTTTCCCTCCCTGGCTTCTGTGATGAGGTTTATTATAAAGTGGGGTTATCAATACATGATGAATCACACAACGTCGCAAAGCAAAGATGTAAAAGTGCTCTCTGGGCACCGAGCGCAGGCACTTTCTCTATTATCCTAGCAACTTCATGCCAGTACCCTACCACTCGGGGGCAGTAGTGCATGCCTACAGATTTCCCTCTACCTTCTATCTTTAGGGCTTCTGAAAGCAGGTTTAAACTGTCCTAGGTGCCATAGCTCTGGCAGGGACTGAAGATGCCCCCTAAAGGTGTGGAGAGCTGAGAGTCAGTGACTGTCCATTTCTGGGGCCGACATTCTACCCACTGGCTTGCCCACACTCCAGCTATGCCTGCACCCTAAGGTGAGTCTGTCTGCCAGGCAGAGTGGGCTTGCTCTCTAAGTAATTCAACCTTGCCTTTCCTTACACAGCCACAGGTGACCCTCCCACACTGTTCTTCCTGACCATGCACAGCTCAGGGATGATGACAATGCAGATGGCACAGCACTGGCATGCAGAGGAATGTTCAGTTTGAGCCCAGACAGCAGTTGAGATTTACAAGGCCACAATGGAAATACATCCCAGATGTATTTGGTGCCACCTGTTACCACAGTAATGAGGTGACCTGCATCTCAGGGTTCTCGAATGGCGAGTTCTTCCTTGTGACCACTGTAGTCCATGCTAGGCAGTCCGAGTGACTGTTCTCAGACAGCAATCCCTATATGCCTTCTCAAATCCCTCCAATTTAGACAACAGCATGCATCCCTTTGCTACAGTGCTTTTACAAAGGTCTCTGAGAAGATCTTACCGTAGTGAGTACAGATCCCTGTGTCTTCTTCCAACCCCTTCACAAGAACATTCAATTATACTGTCCCACGTAAATGAAAAGTAACTGCTGCATGGCCAGATTCGTACCATGCTGCTTTCTAACAGCCTGCTCTATCTATCAATGGAGCAAAAGGCACTGCTTTGGGGTTAGCTTTGGATAGGTTTCCCGGAAAATGCACAAAACATTTCTGAGGAGGTTGCCCGCTGCTCATCAGCAGACACTTATTTACTCCAAGCCCAGCATTCTTGATGTGTCATTGATACTGTGTTTTCTCATACTGTCCCTGATGTTTAATACATGGTGACAGAGACTTATAAGAGATTCCCCAAGCCAATTCCCTAGAAGTGAAACCTCTGAATCCTGTAAATACTGCAGCCCTCAGCTTTCCGTTGGCTTGTGCTTTTCCAACACACCACGTGCTCTCTTTGGTAGAGAGGCTTGGGGTGGCGGGTCCACAGCTTCCTTACTAATCAGTCGTAATTTTCTAAACAAAACTGAATGGCCTCTCTCTATACTTCACAACACTTTTTTTAAAAGGAAGTAGCTAAGAGATACAGAAGAGATATAAAACCCATGTTCTGATTACATTACTAAGTAAGCACTTCGCTGATCAGAAATCAGACATATTCCACAAGAAGTAAACAGCTCTGTGAACACTGGTGGCTAATCTTACTTTTGGGGAATCTGTATGCCAGCCTCCAAAATACTTCCTAAATAAAGCAATTAAAAATATCAGGGAAAGTTAGGAAGCTTCCCTACTTGTACTCAGATGGCAATAAAAAGTCTTAAAGATACCCAGACAAACTCAATTCCTACCCTTTTCTCTGGACTTCAGGAAGCTCTTCAGTTCTCCTAAGTACAATGGTTTGAAGTTTGAACAAAAAAGGAAAAGCATGCAGAACTGTGAATACCGCAACTCCTGTCCCCCAAACAGCTGCCTCAGGGCCCAAGGGCCACCGCACTCTCCCGTGTGGCTTTCTGCTGGTTACCTCCAGAGTCAATGCCTGAAGATCAGAAGGGAACAGCCCTAAAAGAGCCCTTGTCCTGTAAGGGAGGTGAGTAGGAAACTCTCCCAGCTATGGAAGCTGGGAACTCTGACATGTGTTCCTCACCAACTCCCGAAGTCCGGAGTACCAGCAGCCTGCAGCAGGAGCTGCTCTGCTGACTGCCACACCCTTGATGGTTTCCTGTCCTTCCTCCTCAGTGTGGCACTTCCAAGTACAGAGATTCCTGAGACACCTCCCAAACAAATCTGCTAACTCATGTCTATCTCAGAACCTCTTTTAGGAAAACACAGGTTCTTATACTCACTGGTAAATGTGGCCCTGCTAGTGTCCAGACCAAGCATTAACATACAACCAGTGTGGAGACCTAAGAGGTCTATCCATTCCGAAAGAAACATACCAGAAATCACTCCAAATTTCACAACTGTTAGGAAAGGGAGAGATAGGAAAGGGTAGCAATTATAAAAGAGTCCAGAATGCATTAATGATGACACTAACGATCACTATCAATCACTTAATGTTTAGTCACTGCACTTGGCACAGGTTTGGGTGTGTGTGTGTGTGCACAAACTTTTCACTTGATCTGAAGGGAACAAACAGCACACAGAGCACCTTAAAATTCTCCATCCCACCCCCGCAAATATGGCAACTGATCAACCTTGTCCAGATCTTTCAAACACCCTGGATTTAGAAACTGTAGTGATTATGTGACCCACCAAAAGTAGGGCTCCTGTTCCTACTACCCTGTTCAGGGGTCACAATGTGAGCTTGGAGCTGTCAGTGGCATTTTGTTACAAAGGCAGAAAAAACTTCTCCGATTAGCCCAAGAGAAAGGAAAAGGCAACAGCTGGTGAGTCCCTGGGATATGAAATCTAGCTCTGACTCTGTGCTCCTTGATTACACATGCAAAAAATCGCTAAATCCAGTGAGTTGGGAGTCTGTCTATTACCATCCCATTAAGACTTAGGAGATAGTATCATTTGGCCAAATTCTTCATGTCAAAAAGTGGCCAGTATTTAATCATATCTTAGACTGGCATTATGAAAATTTACTAAAGGAACTAAGTAAATCTCTGTCTAGAGAAACAGGGAGATAAAGCAAACATGCAAAAAGCTAGTCAGGATTAAATCAAGATGCTACAGGTAATATTCTCCAAATTCCTCTGTATACTGGAAAAATTAAAGAAATGATGACACACAGTAATAATAGCTCAAAGCCATCCACCTCTCGTTCATCCTTTCCATCACTACCCAATGGCTGGTTCCACACCAGACAGTTCTCACTGACCTCCCTGCCTCTCTCAGCCATTCTCTGCTCACAGAGATCTTTCTCACCAGGAACTTGGTCATGTCTTTGCTCCAACTGAAACCTCCAGAAACTCCAGTCTTCTCAGAAGAAACTTCAATCTTTAAAGTAATGTCCAAAGTTATCTACTTTTTTACCTTGACCATAGCTCCTACCCTAGCTCTTCCCATTTGGTCTCAGGTCCTCTCTGCAGACCCACTCAATCTCTCTCTTTGTATATACTTGTCACTTTAAGGTATTTCTAAGAAGGACCATTTTTAGGTTGGGCGTGTAGCTCAGGGGTGGAGCATTCTCTAGTGTGTCGAAAGTCCTGGGTTCCTGGGTTCCATTGCGATACAACAAAAAAATTTTAAGAGAAACAATATCATTCTTTTCCTTCTGACTTCTGCATTTAGGTTTCCCTGTCTTTCACACTCATCTCTATCCCTCTTCTCTTGCCTGGCCAACTCCTACTCATCTACAGAAGTATGGATGAAACTTTGCTCCTTCCTTCAGAAACAGTTCTCTGAACAAGTGTCCTATGCCTGCCATGTCAGGCCTCTCAGTCATACGGTCCATTAGGTGCTTAAACTGTTTCTACTAAGAAACCACAAGTGTCTCAAGAGCAGGCCTGCTGTGCTCAGTGAGGAGACATTCACCATATTCAGGTGGATGGGCAGAAAAACAGATGAAAAAATAAACCAAGACTGAGATACGGAATTACATTAACTAACCTTTACTATAAAAATATTTTAGCGAATTATTGTTAGCCACAAAGCCACTAGGATGTGCATAAAGCCAGACAGCATGGCATTTTATTCAGGATCATTTTCATTTCTCAGTAAGACTATAGCATGACGCCTGCAATTGACCTTCAACTAATTCAGCAAATGTGTGCATTTGTAGGCATATTCCACTGGAGGAGCAAACTATGGCAAAATGTTAACAATTACTGAATTGTTAAATATAAATTGGTGATACAGAGGGGGTGGCACACTTTTCTTTTTCTGTTATGTTTGAAAATTTTCATAATAAAATTTATTTTTGACCCCAATATAAAACATCCCAGCTTTTTTTAGATTGGGAGCTCTTAAATCCTAGGAAATATAAAGAATCACCACCCCAAATTTCCTGGTTCCTCTCTCTTCTTCCCTAACTAACCCAAATCTTACACCTCAAAGAGACAGGATAATTTTACGAGAAAATTCATTCATGTATTTTTACTTGTTTTGCATAAGCCAAAAATCTCTGCAAATAGAAATGTATAATGTCAGTTCCATTTTTTAAAAACATAAGTTTCTCTTTTCAGATTTTAAACAGCATCTACAAGAGGAACTGATTTAGCTAGAGCACTCTATAAATCTGTGGCCCATGATGAACTGCATGTGCTTCTACAAAATACCTCTCATGAATAACTAAGTACAGTAATATGATTTAAAGATACACTCCTTCTTTAATAATAAATTCTAGACATATTACATAATATTTAATAATAGCCATATTAATCAGGTATTGCCAAAAGATATTTATGGTCAGACTCTCTCATTTAACATCCTCTTTCCCCCACAAGCCCAGTGTCCCTACTAAACATGAGTCTAACTTTAGAATACAGAATTAAGTATAACAGAGTGGATCATTAACATATAAGTGAAAAGAAGCACAAGAACTACTTTAATAAAATTAAAGGAATATTTTAACAGTTCTTGGTAGAAGAACTCACTCCTTTAGGAAAGAAAGCACACTGGACAAGGAGAGATGCTTTTAGATGCCAGTATCAGAATGCCTGACTCAAATAATTTCAGTGATCAAGGGAATGATTCTGTGATATCACAAGAAATTAGAAGCAGAGTAGCCCTGTGGTTGTTTCCAGCTACCTCTCAGACCATCACCCTTGGCGTGTAAATGCCAGGTTAATCTCCGTCACAATACAGCATCTCAGGCCCCAAAACCCTTCCAAGTACAAAGTTATAAAAAAGAATAGAGATTTCTTCTTGTGTCTCCTTAGAAGTTATGAAATTTTTCTCCAAAGTCCACAGCAACTGCTCCACATCTCTTACTAGATAGGGCAGGCCCTGTATCAATAGTCAGAAAAAGATGCTGAATCACCTCATGGCCTTGACCCATACTTAGGGTAGAATTAACACTGGGGAGTCAAACGCATTGATCAGTAAGCAATCCCAGTGTCTAGTGGGAGTATATAACAGTACAAGGAAGACATCACTCTGAAAGGAAGAGAGAAAGCAGGGAGGGAAGGAAAGAGAGTAAGGAGTAAGAGAAGACAGGGAAGGAGATGATGCTTAAATGGGTAAATGGATACATGGCAAATGTTACGGCTTATACCTAAGATGCCTCTCCCAAAAGCCTCATGTGCTCATACGTGGGGTTTTAGGAGGTGACTGGGTCATGGGTGTGCTGGAGCATGTATCCTGGATTACTCCACTGTAATGATTTAGCATAGTTCTAGGTGAGGATAACAGACTTACTAAAGAGGGAAGACCCACTTTGGGTATACGTGACACCAACCAATGAATCTATAGCCTAGAAAGATGAAAAGGAAAAGAAAAAGGAAATCTCAGTGCTTCTAGCCTGCCATGCCATGGGCTATTTCTCTTCTGCCATGCCACCCTGCCTTGGAGCCAGCCAACTATGGACTGAAACCTCTAAAACTATGAGCTAAAATATATCTTTAACTTATGGGTGTTGGGTATTTTGTCCCAACAATGAGGAAGTAAGATAGTGAATGAAACATCAATTCTAAAATATCTAAAAAGCTGAGAGAGCTGGGGAGAGGGGGGATGACAAGAGAATCGGGTAAGAGAGAGAGAATGAATGAATGAGGAACTGCCAAGGATGACTTAGTCCTCAGACTACCTCCATTTCTAAGGCACGTTTTCCAGCTTAGCTCAGCCAGACCTTGCTACGCTACCTCACCATTCATGCACTACCCCAACAAATGCTACCCCTTACACTGCAGGACTTTATCCAGTAATTTTAAGAGTAGACCTTTGGAAGTTTCAACTCTGGTTTCAGGAAATTCTTGTTCTATCAAACATTTTCTTTCTTTCTTTTTTTAACAACATATCCTATTCTGACATATTTTCAAGTGGTTTGGTGAACTTATTTTCATTTAAGGGTGCCTAGCCAAATCTGGATTACAAACATTGCATATGGTTGGTCGTATCTCTTAGGGCAATTTTCTCAAAGATGCAAATGCAAGTGGCTTTACTTGGAAGGGGATCTTGTGACATGCCAGTAGGAAAGTGTGAACTGAGATGTGAAAGGCAGCCAATAATAGCTGTGCTGCTGAAGAGGTCACGATCCCCTGGGGAGCTGTGGAGGACAGTATAGAGGACGCATAACACTGGCCACACTCTGGACAAGAGAGGTCAGCGTAGTTATCTACCATTTGCTCTCAGGTAAGGGTTGAGGGCTGCTGGAGGCAGGTACGGAGTGATGGGGTGGCTTCCTCTCCAGTACTGCAGCCAAGACAGCTCTCAGACTTCCAAGGAAGACTCAAGGAGAGACAGGCAGGAATGTGAGTGTTAAAGCAGTAAACAACTGTCTCTGGAGCAGAAAGGAGGTCACTTGGGTTCCTCCACAGACATAAGGGCTTGACTGCGTGATGCTTCCTCTTTGTTCCTCTCATGTCCCCTCCCAGACCCAGAGCAGCAAGAGCCCAGCCACATCACCTCCTTTTCTTTCCTTCTGAAGGGGCTACTCTACTATGAAGAGTGTAGGCAGCAGGTCCCACCTGGGCATGCATTGCCTGTGCACTGCAACAGCAAGGCCAGTGCTCTGGTCTGGACTGCTCAGTGCATGCAAAGTGCTGGGCTGAGGATCCGCACAGGTACAGATGTTCTCCAACACAGGAGACCCAGGTCCCAGAGTCAGCTCTGGAGATTTGGGGCCAATAAGGTTTTGGGCCTTCAAAATTCTGTGTGTGTGTGTGTGTGTGTGTGTGTGTGTGTGTGTGTGTTTGGGCCTTCAAAATTCTGTGTGTGTGTGTGTGTGTGTGT